TATCATTTTAACACATAGATTTAGGAATGGTAAGAAAATACAGCTCAAACATACTATTTGTGCTATTTACCCATGAATAATGTAAAATGTATGATAAAGAAATATGAAACTGTCATGGGAAAGAGAGGTTTGAATTTTATAAAGATTGAAAAGATTTGTGTCACAGTGTTTATTCTTCATCAATTGTTAGAGGAATAGATGTATTAATTCATGAAGAGAATGAAAGACAGAATGTCAGGGCTTATTATATTTTTCTTATGCTGTCTCTGATAAAGTATATGATTTGGCATGAACGAGACATCTCATTTCTCTTTCTTTTAGTTTTTGATGAGTAAAATGAAAGAGATAGTAATTGGCTGTCTTTAAATGGTAGCATTGGCCGTCAAAAATGGACCAAAGGGCATGATAAAGAGGGCACTGGGTTTTGGGGTCACTAAATGCTTGTCTCCAAATGAGTACAAAGTGGGAAAAAAATATTTCCTTGTGGTGTTAAGGTTTTAGAGGGGAGTGAGAATCACTGGCTAGCTGCATTAATTGGTTCAGCATTATGTAATGCTAATGGTTTTGAAGCCTGACTAAGAAATCTCAACTGTCAGGAAAGCTGCACAGTTGAAAGTAATTATGGAAGTTTGAAGGAATCCAAACCATTTTCATAATCCATTGGTTCTTGTCCAACCAGGGTATCCTCTTTTTTTTTTTTTTTTTCAACTATGTGAAATATTATGCAATTTGCTCTAAAAGTCTTAAATATAATTTGTCCAAATTTCTTCCCAACTCTTCCATAAGTTATCAGTTAAAAGTTTCCTTTCAACAAATGGATTACGCTGCAGAAATTACTGAAGCCACCTGAAATCCTTTTTGAAACAAAGCAGAGTAAATAATTGTCCCACTGCATAAATAGATAAATGACACAGGCTGCTGACATAATTTGCTACCTATTGAATTATTATCATTTCAAAGCTTATCAATCTTTTTTTCCCTGTTCCATTCTGTTTTGCTAATGACAGGGAAGGAGCTAAGAATATTTGAATTAATTATGCAAATAAATTCGTATTAATCTTTCTAGAAGTTGGGGTGCTCATTTTAGTATCAGTAAAGCTATTTCCATGGCTGTTTGTGGAGATAATAGATGACAGAAAAATAGAGTATTATAATAGACTGAGAAAAATATCTTTGAATTACAACAAATACGATTTAATTTAGGCTTAACCCAGGACATTTCCGTCTGGTAGATGAAGGCTGTAGTTTTTTGGACCTTATTTATAGTCCAATTTTGAATAGACAAGGGAAAGAGGAACTTGGGGTGGGGTGGAGCATGAATTTTCATACTTTTCCTTTTTTGCAAAAGTGAAATTTTGGGGAGGCTTATCAAGAGTCTTCAGAATCATTTTTCTAGAGCCGTTTCTGAGATGAGGATCAGCAGACGTCTCATCTGACTGATGTAGTCTGGAGAAGCGGCTGCGGGCCTGACGAGTAATGTTCTGCATTTCTATGCTGGGCTAGGGGATGGGGCAGGATTCTCGTGCAGACAGAAATAACTGGACAATCACTATCGCTTCAGGACTGAGCAGAGTAAAGTGGAAGCCTGCAAATTATATGCTTGGAAATTCTCTTGGCCAAAAATCTTCTAGCAATAAAACTTTTGTGATAAGCCTCTTTTCCAAGTTGAGTATTCTTTTGTTGTTAAAACTGCTTGGGAAGATATAGTTAGTTTAATGTTCTGAGGAAAACGAATCATTCATTACTAACTTCAAATAGAAAACGGAAATATTAGTAAAAGAGAATGAAGACTATGAACTAAACATTTCAATGAGTGTTCAATATAAACATAGTTATATTTTTGGAAGGGAAAGTGTGGAAAAGTGTTGGAGTCATAATTACAAAGCCTACATTTTTCTGGCATACGGAAGAGTCAAAGATTTATGTGTTAATCTAAAATCTGACTGGTGTTTGCGGACCAGAGTGAACAGGGGCTGAATCTCTATCCATCTTTGTGTTCCCAGGGTCTAGCACAAGGGGCAAAGAGTAGGGGTTCCATGAATGATTGCTAGGCAGCATCAATAATTTTAAATTACAGGAAACCCCCAAGCCTGATTCTAGTCAATAATGCCAACCGCACTTCCTACTAAATCTTTTATTCATGCACTCAACCCCTTTTTCAATTGAGTTGTTTGAATTTCATCTCTTTTTGATACTATATTTATGAAGCCATGGAATCAATTATTTTGTTCCTAACATGTTTTTTGGCACCAAGATATTATACATGACAGTGAAAATGGGGTAGAAAATCAATGTCAAGTAAATGACTTTGTGAGTGATTGTCTACACGCTGAATCCAATGGATGCAATGTCTTACCCCCAAAGGCTAGAAAATTGGAGGACAGCATGAAGCTGCCCCAGAAGATAGGTTGATCCACATCTGACACAGAGACTGCTGAGAAGTACACCTGTCCTGTGTCATTCATAGGCCCAAGGGGAGTCCTATGAGGTCATTACTAACAGTGACACCCAGAAAGACTCTCTCATGCTGTCAGTCACAGTTGGCTGTGCATCGGCTGATGGGTGCCCAAGTGTCTTACCTGGGTGAAGCAGACTGGGTCCATGTGGTTTAGGCTCTGTATTTCAAAGGAAAACACAGCGGCCTGGTAACTGAAGTGTCCATTGAGCAGTTTGTTGAAAATCAAGTAAACAACGCTATTTAAACAACAACAACAACAACCAACCTCTTGAATTTTTTAGTTTGTTATAAAGGATCATCTCTATCTTCTGCCCCTATTGTATGGTTTTGAGAAGAGAGATGAGAAGGTATAAATTCCATGAGGCGGGGAGCCTTCGTGTTTTGCTCATTGCCGTATTTTCCGTGGCCAACAGAGTGCCAGACATACAGCAGATACTTAAGCAGTATGTGTTGAGTGAATATTGGATAGGGTGAGAGAAAGATGGAAATAAGGCTGAGTATATGGCTGGGTAATCAACACTTGGATATTTATTTTTTTCGTCTTTTCTTGCATTTATTTTCTCTAATCTTTTAAACCTGTTTTTTATGTACCTTATGTGTTTAAGGTCCTATACAAGGCACTTTGAAGTTCTTGGAGAGTTTCCTCAGACATTTGTATTAATTTACTTATTTATCCACTTAACAAATATTTGTTATTCATTTAACAAAGTATGTATCATTATTGAATTTTTTTTCTAAAAATAGTACCATTTTAACTCTTATCCTTTAATGAAATTATAGTTTGGAAGCAAAGATCAAGCTGTAAAAAGTAGTGAGAAGGATCTAAACTGATCAAAAAGATGTAATAACATGGACCATTAACCCCACAAAGTAGCGTATTCCACTGAGGAATATTAAATTGTAGAAAGAACAGTGATATTTTATTATATCACCCGAGACACTGTCAAAGAAGAATAGTTGATACCAAATTGGCTAAAGGAAGATTTAATCATAAGATCTTTTGAGAATAAAAAGTTTGAATAGATGATATAAAAATACAACTTTTGACTGATTTCATTGCAGTAGTTAATATAAATAGTTATTATGCTATGTGACCTAGAGCCTAGTAAAATAGAATTTTTTAGTCTTGAAGTTTCAGATTACCTTTATGCCTTAATAAGGTTAAAAGCTTAAAACATTTGACTTAACCAATATCAAATACCTCTTAATGAATATAAATGATTCAGGAAGAAAACAAGAATCCTAACAGATTCCCATTTGAAATTGGAAGGTACATTAAAGTCATTATGTCCAAATTTCCTATCTTCTGGAAAGGAAATTGAGGTCAAGAGAGGGCAAGTGACTGAGTCAGCATTGCACATGTAGGATACATGACTTCTACTATAGTTTTCTCTGCACCATACAGCCATACTTCCATTGCACATTAATACACTAGCTTTCTAGTCCAACACAATCTTGCTTGACTTTGAACTGTCTAACTTAATGAATTTATCATGTTATTCCCATTTTGACTCTCAAGACCAAAGCTTTCCCCACATCAACAGGAATCTACCTGAACCCTATTTCCAGATAGGGTTTGTTTGAGTACAGTGAAATATGACTAGTTGGAAACTTATCTGAATTTAAATGTGATTTTGGCTCAAAGAGTGGCTTATGTCCTTTTTGTACTTTATTGGTGACATGTCAGTAAGAGGAAATCCAGTTTTATTAACCAAACCAAATGCTCCTCATCCTTGGAATACCCCAAAGGCATATTTCTTCTCATTTATTCCATATGGGGAACCATGTCATAGATAAGGAGACTGAGGGCCACGGAAGGTCTTGGAGGAAGTGTGTGGCAGAGCTGCTGTTGAAATCCCAGGCTACGTCCTCCACCTAGGATGGGTAATTTTATGTGTCAACTTGGCTAGGCCATAAAGCCCAGTTTTGTTTGGTCAAATATAAATCCTAACATTGCTGTGGATGCATATTTTAGATGTAATTAAGATTTAAATCAGTAGACTTAAAGTAGATGACCCTGTGTGATTTGGGTAGGCCTCATCCAATCAGCCAATGGATTTAAGAGGAAAGACTAAGGTTTCTTGAAAAAGAAAAAAAATATCTTCAAGTGTTGAACATAGAAGTTCTGCCTGAGTTTCCAGCTTGCTTCCCTGCAAAATTTGGACTCAAGGTCGCAACATTTTCACTCTTCCCTGAATTTCCAGCCTCGGGGGCTGATGCAGGTTTTGGACTTGTCCCTTCTACAACCATGTGAGCCAATTCTTTAAAGCTTCTTTCTCTCTGTCTTCTATGGATTCTGTTTCTCTGGAGTACCTTGACCAATAGTCCTTGCATGCTCTTTCTGTGTACTTTTTGGTGTCCTAAAGCTAGACTTCGAAGTGAGAAAAAAAAGAAAATCCGCTATGGAGACCATGAGCCCTTGCAGGAAGACTAACTGCAGAGCTGTGACTCCATTTGAGAGGAAGATACCCGGAGAGGCCAGGCCTTACCCAGAGATCAAGGTGGCAGCATTGGAGCCGGGTTTTGACAGGCGCAGTTGCAAATGCTCACAGGACAAGCAGCACTGGAAGAGAAATCACCAGAGCCCTCCACGAAGCCCCTGATGGGACAGATTGGATTTAAGAACAACAGTATCAACAAAGAGCATTTTCAGGAAAAGAAGCTCTGTATTGCTTGTTTAATTAAAAAAAAAAAAAGATATATGGGAAGACATTTTGCAGAATGCCTTTTTAGAAGGAAAAAAAAAAATTCCTCCTACCCAAAGTAAAACATCAACACTCTTGAATAGAAAGGAATTTAGATTCTGAACTAAATGGTTTAATAAGGGACAGATAATAAGAAGTGTGAATTGAAACTAATTGGTGTTTCAGATCACTGAACTGGTTGAAAAACCATTTGTGATGAGGTCTGTATAAGTTAACAGTTGCTTTTAAATGCCTAATTAAACATCGCTCTGTCCCTGGTGAGAATAAAAAAATGTATTGTTGCTCATTGCTCTATACTTAACCGAATGATTAAAGTGGGTAATCTGAACAGATTTATTTTTTGTGTGTGGTAAAAGCTCTTTTTTCCCCGGAGTAGGCTGATGTAGGTAGCCCTTGGACAATGACACATTGTGTCACATACAGACGAGAATGCCACCTCGCAGTGAGCACGCATAATGGGATAATGTGAGAAAAAGGCACGAGAGTCTTGTGGAACAAAAGGAAAAATAAAGAGACAAGGTGAGAGGTGGCTGGGTCGTGGCTGATTTTTTTTTCTCTCCTGGGAGTAATAATTAAAAGGGTATCAATAAGAGGATTTAAAAAATTATGCTATTTGGGCGCTAAGGATTAAGGGCACAAGTGTTTGCAATGAATTATATTCAAGAGAGATCAAGGTTTAATACTTGTAATTTCATTTTACTGTGGGCTGAAGCCCTCTGGAATTCAATGAAAAGGGTATTAAGAGGATAGTGGGACAGATGGGGGACTGGAAAGGGGTCAGAAGGGCTTGCTCTGGGGCCGTCACCTGTGGAATCATTTTCTGGGTTTAGGGATGGAAAAGTTGGTGTGAAAATGGAGTGATTTCTGAAAGTAAGTGTCCAGGAGGAGCAGCCTACAAGGCAGAGGGAGTCTCACAGCATCGGCTTTCCTTCCATCTCCTCACTTCCCACCTCCTTCTCTTCCTCCCGCTACAGTTTCATGCCTTGGTGTAAGCAGGCCATTTCTCTATGGTCTAGTTTTACACCCATAGCTGCAAAACAGTGAAAGAAAAAAAAAGTTTTTTCTGTAATTAACTTCCCTAAATGTTTTCAAGGTAGTTTATTTGACTCTGCCTGAGCATAAGGTCAGGGGAATATTTTTTTCTATAATTCCAGAAAACAAAACAAACAAGAACCCAACATCAAAGGTGTTAAGAAAAAAAAAAGACAATCATTTAGATTTTTCAAAAATATATTCCAGTAAAAACTCTAATGTTACTTGTGCAACTCTTTATTGTGTGTGGAAACATCCTCTGATGGTGCAGGTGCTAGCGAGTGACTTCTTTGAGAGGAGGACATGAAGAAAGGTGGGGAAAAGGAGCCAAGGAGCCTGCTGGAAAGATCAGGGTGAAGGAAGAGGTACTCACAAGGTTACCCTGTGTAGGCTTCACCTTCCTCTTTCTCCCACTCTCACCTTTGCTGAGAACCAAAGTCTTGGTGGCAAGTTCAGGTATTCAAGAGAATAAGCTCTATCTATTATGTATGGAGCCTATGTATTTATTTAGATTTGCATATTTGTGTGTATATTCATTACTGCCTTTTTTTTTTTTCCTTAAAGACAGAGTCTCACTCTTTTTCCCTTAAAGATAGAGTCTTACTCTGTCACGCAGGCTGGAGTGCAGTGGTGCAATTATGGCTCACTGTAGCCTCGAACTTCTGGACTCAAGTGACCCTCTTGCCCCAGCCTCCTGAGTCGTGGGACTACAGACACATGCAACCACATCGGGTCAATTAAATTTTTTTTTTTTTTTTTTTTTTTTAAGAAGTGGGTTCTCAGTATATTGCCCAGGCTGGTCTCAAAGTCCTGGCCTCAAGCAACCCTCCCTCCTCAGCCTCCCAAAGAGCTAGGATTACAGGTGTGAACCAACTTGCCCAGCCCATCTGTTACTTAATGGCATTTCCTTGCTCTGTTCCTCTAATCAGTCATTTGCTTCTAACAACACTCATGGTTTCTTGTATACGATTTGCACTGATGTCTACTGAGTCGACCGATCAATAGCAGTCCTGGCTTCTGAGATAGTTGGTTTTGCAGTCGGCCTCAGACCACGCCAGTCTGTTTTCCCTTCTGAAGTGGATTACGACATGGGTGCTTTGGCTGTTCTGCTTTCTTGACCACTGCTGGGTCCGCTGCTTTAAGTCAATGGGCCCACCTATCTGGACATCGAGGTGTGAGTTTACTTTGAGAAAGAGTACATTTTTTCTCAAATCCTAATTTAAGCCCCTATGGCTTCATTGAACACCCACCCCACCAGCCCCCCAACAACTGTTGGAACAAAGACTCTCATAACCATTGTTTCAACTGTATTGTTCTGAAGCTCTATTTCCATCTTCCTCCATGCAGCAAAAGTCCCAATAAAGTAAACAGAAGAAAAGAGCTGTAGTGCTGAGACCAAGGGCTAAAGCCTGGAGACTGAAACAGTGCAGACCACCAGGGCATTGCTCATTTCTCCAGCTCGGAACCGCTGTTATAGCTGGGGTCTACTCTGGCCCGTGTCTGCCTCCTTCTTGAATAGCCCAGAGAATTCGTCTAAACAGTCTTCCTACAGCAGCTGCCCACTCCAGGTGGTCAAACTGGAATTCCAGACCAGTGTTGTCTCCTGGCACATTGACATAGCAGCCAAGGTGATTGGTGCTGGGGCAGCCACAGTTGGTGTGGCTGGTTCAGGGGCTGGCATTGGAATGGTGTTTGGCAGCTTGGTCATTGCTTATGCCAGGTACCTATCTCTCAAGCAGCAGCTCTTCTCCTGTGCCATTCTGGGCTTTGCCTTGTCTGAGGCCATGGGGCTCTTCTGTCGAATGGTTGCCTTCCTCATCCTCTTTGCCATGTGAGGCTCCGTGGGGGTCACCTGCCTGTGCGTGCTGCTGTGACTCCATGCCATTCCTGGTTCTGCAGTGTGCTAAGCTTTACCATTAAACACAACGTTTCTCTAAAAAAAGAAAAAAAAAAAGAAAAGAGCTAGTGGAATGGAGGCTGTCCCACCCCCACCTCCCATGCCCAGGAGAAGGGCCTGCTGGCCTCAATCACACTGGTCACTCCGGCACGAGTGAGGAAGAAGAATCCTGTAAGGGCTGTATGGGAGAACGCGTCCCTCCCTCAACAAGGATGGCTTCCCCCTTTCCGTGTTGCTTCCCAGAGCCCGAAAGCACACCTGGACTCAGGCTCTCAGCCCTGGAGAAGCCGCACTGCCACTCTCCTGGAGTGAAAACAGTCTAGAGATGTGATCTACCCGAACAGCTTTAACATACTCCTCTACCGTATGGAAAGGAACAAGGGCTCAGCGACAAAACTGTTGGGAAGCCAAGAATCACAGGGTTAGTTCAGTCGTATGGGATTCAACACTGGAGGACAGTTTTGATTATATTTCTTTCACATTTTACATACTCAGTAGAGGCTGTGAAGGGTCTGAAGACCTTCTCTTCTGCCAGGGAAATGGAGGGCTTGATGACCAGGCCCTGGGGCGCTCAGCTGAGAATGACTCCTGCCATCAGGACCCACCTCTTGACATTTCCCAGGAACTGACGTTTGTTCTCTCGCTTCTAACTTCCCTTTATTTCCCAGTGTTACACACGCTTTGATGATCGAGCTTCCTTTATGATCTGTGCCCTGTGGAGTTCTCTCCAGACTAAATGAAGAGTTGAACAGGCTTAATAAATCATTAATATAATACAAAATATTTGAAACAATAATGCCACAATTTGACTACTAGATTATATCTAGACAGCTAGAGAGAAATTTAAATACTAAGGGAGTTAAGTGAACACTTTTACAACTAATATGATTTATTCATATATTTTTCAAAACAGTAGATGATAAAGCAGATATGGAAAAATTCCAAATTACAAGAAGATTAAAAATGATTTCTCGCATGTTTTATTTTTAAACACATTTTTTCAGATACTATAGTATCTAGAGTTAATGATTTTTGTTATAAATTGCTAAACATGTTTAATTTCTAAATACGAAGTCAGAAACCTGTAAACCAAAGGTTTGTCATTTAAAACCATCAATTATTGTTTTAGACATATTTCCTTGAGAAGTAGAAACCTAAAATATACAGCAACTGTGCTTAGAATTGATGAAGCTGAGATTTGATGAAAATGAAGTTCATATGAGGAACATTTTTTAAAAATTTAAAAAATCAAGACAAATTGAGTCAGTACTCACTCTTTTATATAATACTACAGTACTCGTGCTGATTAAAACTACAGCTAACTGTAGGGTAGATGTTCCTTTAAATTAGAAAATAATTTCTATGAATTTCTAGTTGTTCCATGGCGAATAATTTAGAATACTAGGGTTTCCATATCAGTAAATCAGCATAAGGACTGGAGTAGGTGTCATGAGGGTATTTACAAATTATTCCTGTTTCTTGAGGTTTAAATTCTTATGGAATTCATACATGAACACTTTACAATGTGAAAGTGTGGGCTACTTTATCTCAGGTTATGCTCAAGGAAGCAATTATGTGAGCTCCGTGCAAAGTAGTAGACATGGAATAAGTGGAGACTCATATTATTAAAAACATTAAATAGGCCTTTCCATCAACGAATCCAAGGAATGAAGCTCGAATATTTTCCCTTCAGAAGTTTCCTCTGCCCATTCCATACCTTGCTATGCTTCCGCCATTTCTCCTCACGGCTACAAACCAGAACATTCTTCCCCAAGGATGACGTAGATCTGTCTATGCAGTGAAGCCTTTCTCTATGTCCATGTCCCTCGGTAGAATTTTGTAATTGTTACAATTTTCTTTATTGTTCACTAACTGAATTCTTAGTTACCTCATGATTAGAGTTATTCTTGTGAATACAATTTTCCTTCCCTTATTTTTTCTAGTTGCTTTACTCCTGGAAAAATTTTTGTCTATTTGTGTTGTCCCGATGTGTCTATGTTTACTTTTCCTTTATGGCTGACATGGATCTTTTTGATGAAAAAGTTTTCTAGGTGAGTGTATATTTTTATCTTCATAGTTATACCTTATCTACAGCTTCAAGCGAATGCCTTATACGTCCAAGTTAAGGAGCTTGCTCCAAAGGAAAAAGACACATATGGCTTGATTTCTGTTTTCTCTCCTCCTTCCATGTCATCAGCAGCTCAAATCCTGCCCATGTGATATGTGAAGAAACACCAACTTGTCTGTTTTCTGTTCTTTCTTTCTCCAGCCTCATCTGCCAAGCTAGAGTATATCTTTCAGGCATTCCTAGCTGCACTGTTCTGTGCTCATGTTCTAGGGAAGTTACATGTTAGTTCCCAATCGTCCTGATTTGATCTAAGTGGTTTTGTATCTGACAGTCGTGTAAGTTTGAGTCTTGACAGGTTCTGTGTCAACAGAGATTCACGGTGGCAGTCAGAGAGTGGCCCCAAAGGTGGCCACACCCAAACTCCTGGAACATGCATGTTGCTCACCGTGCATAGCGAGAGGGCCTTTGCAGATAGAATTAAGGGTATTGTATTAGTCCGGGCTCTCTAAAGGGACAGAACTAATAGGAAAGATGACTGTATGAAGGAGAGTTCATTAGGAAAATTGACTCACATGATCACAAGGTGAAGTTCTACAATCTGTAAGCTGAGGAGCCGGAAAGCTGGTCCAAGTCCCAAACCCTTGAAAGTAGGGAAGCTGACAGTGTAGCCTACAGTCTGTGGCCGAAGGCCTGAGAGCCCCTGGCAAACCACTGGTGTAAGTTCAAGAGTCCAAAAGCTGAAGAACTTGGAGTCTGATGTTCAACGGCAGGAAGCACCCTGAACAGGAGAAAGATGGAGCAGAAGACTTAGCTAGTCTAGTCCTTCCACGCTCTTCTGCCGGCTTTATTCTACCCGCACTGATAGCTGATTAGATTGTGCCTCCCCAGATTGAGAGTGAGTCTGCCCCTCCCAGTCCACTGACCAAATGTTAATCTCCTTTGGCAACACCCTCACAGACACACCCGGGAACAATACTTTGCAACCTTCAATCCAATCAAGTTGATACTGGATATTAACCATCACAGGTATGGTTCTTGAAATTGGAAAACCATCCTAGATTCTCAGGGTGAGCCCATCTAGATACATGAGTGTGTCCAAGGGCAGAACCTTTCCCTCTGTGGTCACAGAGAGACGTGACAATGGGAGCAGGGCTGGGGAGAGATTTGTTGTTGCTGGCTTTGAAGGTGGAGGAAACGGATCATGAGCCAAGAATGCAGAGTGTTTCTAGAAGGTGGAAAAGGTGGGCAAATGGGTTGTTTGCCTGAACCTCTAGAAAGAAACAAGGCCCTGCTGACAGTGTTAACCCAGGGAGGCCCGTGTCAAACTTCTGTCCTCCAAGAGTGTCATATAATAAATGTGTGTTGTTCAAAGTCCCTAAATTTATGGTAATTTGTGATGGCAGCAGTAGAAAACTGATACATTGAGGTATTGGTCTGCTTAGGCTGCCATCACAAAAGACCACAGACTGGGTGGCTTAAACAACAGAAATGTATTTTCTCACAGTTCTGGAGGCTGGAAGTCCAAGATCAGGATGCCAGCATGGTCTGGATCTGGTGAGGGCACTCTTCACGGTGGGCAGATGGCTGCCTTCTCACTGTGTCCCTAGGTGAGAAGCGGGTAGGAGAGGTATGCTGCCTCTCTTAGGAGGTAATTACGGTCAAATGAAGTCTTATATAAGGGCCAGGCCACAATCATCTCTTAAAGGTCCTGTCTCCAAATACAGTCCCAAGAGGAGGTAGGGCTTCAACATATGAATTTTGAGGAAGCACAGTTCAGTCCATAGCAATCGATGTAAAATGTTTCAAAATTTGTTTTTTCTTCCTTTCAGTGCTGTGTGTATGTATGTATCTGTGTTTCAAGGGGTGGGAGACATGCACAGGAATAATTAGTACTTGTGATGATATAGATCTTTAAAATATTTTTAAATATTTTAACATATGATTTAAAATGTAAAAATGTTATAGTTTAGCTACAGCCACCCTGTATATTCTTTAAAAACGCAATGAGTGGATGTTAAATACTCTCACCAAAAAATGATAACTGTGTGATATAATGTGTATGTTAAATAGATTTTACTATTCCACAATGTGTGTATACTTCAAAATATCATGTACATGATAAATACATACAGTTTTATCTGTCAATCTTATAAAAATTAATTGAAAAATTCAAAAAATTATATTTTGCATTTTAAACTTTTTATATAAAAATAATTTTATTTACAAAAATTTATAAACATTGTGCAGAGAGTTTTCTGTGCTCCTCACCCAGCTTCCTCTATGTTCACACCTTATATAACCATAGTACAAGTAGCAAACTGAGGAAGTGAATGAGGATATGAGGCTATTGGCTGAATTACAGACCACATTAGAATTTTGCCAAGTATTCAAATTGTCTGCTTTCTGTTCCAGGATCCATTTCAGGATCCCATATCAAGTTTAATTGTCCTGTCTCATTAATTTCGTCCAAATTGTAGCCATCCCTCACTTTTTTTGCCTTTCATGTCCCTGACAATTTTGAGGAGTATGAGTCAGTTATTTTGTTGAATGTCTTCAACCTGGATTTATTGTTCCTTTTATTTTCCAGGGAGGAATCTCCCAGTGTTTGTGCCACGTTTTGATCTGACTTAAAGCCGTAAACACAGCTGAAGCCTGGGCCATCCACAGAAGACCCAGTGTTCTCTTTCTCCAGGTGGGCATTTTGTATCTCTTAAGAGTCCTAGACTGAGCTACATCAGTAGACCTCTGCATTTAAAGGGAGAAATTCTCATCCAAGGATCCCGATTCCTCTACTGTACTGCAATTTCACTACTCTCTCCAAATATCTCCAAGCAAATATAAAACAGCTGCATGCCTGAGAGTGAGAGAAATTTCTTAAGTGATCGACCAAATCTGGGTGTGATTAGTAGGTGGATACCTCATGGAGATGCTGATTTGCGAGTTGGGGTACAATAATAATGGCTAATAATGGCAAACA